TCCTGGTTACGCTAGCTGCTTTCAGATACGATACTGCTAATATCGACTGGCACCTGTCCGTCTTTCCGTTATGAGGAGGCATGCGACTCACAGCCCATGGCGATGGTGAGTGTGACTAGCAAGACGCGCCCGCGTTAAGAAAAGTCTTCCACAATGATAACATGTGATTTGAAGACCGCTGTTGTCAACATTTGTGTTTACTCTGTCTCTACTCAGATGCTCAGTTCTCATCCTTCCTGCAGTCATTTTGTTTCTTCATTATGAATCCCTTCCGGATGAATTCTCTACAGAAATACGGTCGGTTGATTTTTTTCCCCACAAGTCCAACTTAATACATGTATACTGCCACTATACATGAGATTCATTTCTACTAAAGAAATTGGGATTGGTTTGATCTGATTAATTCACTCTAAAAAACTTTTCAAAACAGGTATATTATTGTTTCCTGAAATTTTACATTAAGTAATTTGCTATTAGTAGCTTAGCGATAACCCTTTATAGCATTATCGAATTCAACGCAAAGCGGTCAGCTGCTATACTGCCTGTTAAACGAAAAAAAATAATTGCGTTTCCTTTACAGGACGTTGCAGAACCAACCATAGCATTCGTTGGCTGTTGCGGTTTTTGAAGGCAGATTTTAGTTATGTAGTTTATCATGGCCCGAGAACGATGTCAGCTCTCGGTACCACTATCGAAACCAAGGCAAGACAAACCGTCCAAAGCTAGGATCGAACCTGACACCCCGGCATTAGGACTCTCTCAACGCCTAAGCCACAGACGCCTGTAGCACACTCCGGACTTCATTAATTCAGGACGATGATACCGAGAGCACACTATTAAGCTACAAATGACAGTAAGCTCTATGTCTGTCAATTCTTTTATGTTAATCATACTTGATATGAACTAGTGTTCATATCAAAACCAAGACGTTTTGAAAGAGGCGGGAGCCCGAAGACAACTTATCACAGACATCAGAAGGAGACAGTCATTATTTTTCAGCCACGTTATAAGATGAGGGAAAATAGAACATGTTGTGACCACTGGAAAGATATGTGGAAGGAGAGATAGAGAAAGACAACGAGAGAAGATGCTTGACAGTCTTGCTGCATGGCATGGAGGTGTGTCGGCACACGAACTGATACATGCTGCAGGAGATCGCAGATTATGGAGAGGCATGATCGCCCACGCCAGTCGGCAAGGCACCTGATGATGATGGTATATTAATAGTGGCACAAAGTTTATTGCAAAAAAAAAAGTAACAAAAACACACTTATGTATTACAGTATGTTTGTTATTTGCATATCTTTATAATACTGACTGTTGCAAAGCGCAACATAAAGCAAGCATAAATAAATATTTAAAAAACAATACTTAAAAAATATAATGTTTTATAAACGTAAATCAACATGACCATAGATTTCCGAACTGAGACTCTAGTAATATAATAACATTTCCTTACAATGAAATCAACATTCTGAGCATTGTCCGATAAATGAGACAGGTTACACGCACGCGTGCGCTCGCACACACACACACACACACACACACCACACACACACACACACACACAAGGCAATTGTAACAACAGCTCAAATATCTTGCATTAGATGATAAACTATATATGGTCTATGGTTGTTTGGAAAAGATTGTTTGCCCAGTGGTTGTCAGTCCAAAGAGAATGTGTATAAATTAGTGACGAGGAGCGAATAATGCACACGTGCCATAGTTAGCTGGTAAGGATTACACTGGAGAGGTCATACAAAGTTTCCTTCTCATCGCTTGGCTTTAAGAGTATACGTGCGCAGTCTGCGTTGTAGTACTAGTAACTGGTAGGTTTTACACGTTACAGTTTTTACATATAAAACGTCAGCGTGCAGCGAGCGTACGTGTAGCTTTGTTAAAAAACTTTAACAAGCTTTAAGTGCTCGGCGAGGCATAAACGGAATGGAGTATTTGTAATAAATAGTGAACAGTAATAATAAATAGTAAACAATGATAATAAATAGTAAACAGTAGTTAACTTAGCGACGAAGTCAATGGGCGACTAGGTCGCTGATGTGATAGATCCCCGGTTTTGCCCGTTGACATTCCAATGAAACCAGACTGTATACGACAATCAAAGACATGGATCACTTCACACATTTCATAGAGGCTTCTGGTCTTCGTATCTGAAAACCACTGGCGGGGAGTGCGGTAAAAAACACGAAGAAGATACAATAGTAAATGTATAGCCTGCGTAGTTAACGGCAACTATACTAAACATACGTCTCTAAATCCTCCTGCTAGAAATGTCCCCTGACCCTCATCTCAGGTCCCTTCATCACATCATCATGTAGCAGGACCTTTTCAGAAAGTCGTTCTCATCCCGGTCTCTGAAAGAAACTGTCTCCCGCCAGCTCTTCTGCCTCGTGTACATTCATATTTAAGGAGGCACTTATATCCTGTGCCAATCTTCGTGTAGGCCGGTTCTTACCTCCCCTTCCTGATATCATGTCTTCTTACATAATTTTTAGTGTTGCCTGATTTGACCAAACTATTTCAGCTTCCGAGACAAGATTTTTATTAGCTAATCTTCCTTTTCAATTTACAATATTTCTTCTCTTCTTTGTCCATGGTGTTTTGAGATTCATTCAACGGCATTTCAGCTCATTGACCCCTATTTTATTTCTTACATAAACATTCAACTCTAAATCCCTGGCTAAAATAGTCCCTACCTCCCCCCCCCACCCCAACCGAGGTCCCGCCCACTGCCCTAAAAAAGTAGTATAGTAGGTACTGTAAATTATCTTATCATCCTTACCCGATTAGCACTGGACATTACTCCAGGCTGGTGTAACCGCTACGGTTGCCCTAATTATAATTTCTTTGGAGGTTTAAGACCTCTCTGGGATAGGTCTTCGTTTTCTACCATCTAAACTGAGATTCATTATTCTTTTGATGATATGGAAAACAATTAGGTAAAGGCCTGAAGGGACACACCGATCATCAATCGACGTACAGCAAAGGATATTCGACGTTTAGACTTGTAAAATGCAAGTAATATCATATTCAGTAGTTCTAATTTAAAACTGAAACAAAAACCTCAGTTTCATCATGTATAAATCGTTCTTCTATATAGTAACAATACACAAAATATTGCATTCCTAATATTATAAGCTGTACAAAATATTATAAAAGTAACTACATAAAGAATACAATACAGTATAATGACTAGTAGATTAATATAACCTACATTTGTGAAGTTGACAGCATCATAATGGGGTTTTTACGTTGAGGTTTTTTCCAATTTTCTATTATAAATTAGGGGGCTGTGTGGTCTCCAGGAATGATGTCCGCCTCAAGTTCTAGAGGATTCCGGGTTCAATCCCCGGTAAAGGCTAGGATTTTTTTACGTGGACTTGGAATTCTAGTAATTCCCCCTGGTCAATGGGTAGTGAGATCTGACGCCCGTGTGCATTGTTACGCGCATGCAAAATCCCTTAGCTTTTAAAAATCGAAAAGAGTAGCTAACGGCCCTGTACGGGAAAATTTTGAGTTTAAAATCTACCTAAAGTATTTCAGGATCCTCGCCAGTTTACTGTGGTGAGCTTCTTCGGACTCAGACTTGAGTTAGAAGAAGAACGGAGCACTTATGAATTACACACGTGTGCCACGATGTTGATCTTTTGTTAAAAGCATCAAAGCTTCAAAACCTATTACAAACTTACATTTGCTTTGCTTGCCTAATATCATATGACAACTATGATGTCTTTGGTAACTGAACGGTAAAAATTAAAAAAAAAAATAACAAGAACAGTTTTAAAATAACATGCGGGAAGTTTGTTTAAAAAAAGGGACAAACTGACGCAAAGTTGTGAAATTGTTATTCACTTAAAAACAACATTATTTCGGCTGTCAACGAGTTCACTACAGTTAGTGGCATTAACTTGCCGAATTTTAGACAAATGCTGTTGCATCGGTCGCAAGATACTATGTTATTAGCTCGACGCACAACTGATATAAAGTCTAGATGAGTGATTTAATACTATATACATTTTGTATATCAGTCCGCCTGGTTGCATGCCTGTCTGTCTCTTCGTCTGTCTGTCGTTCATGCTTATTATGCACACACTGTTGCCAAAATAAACCCACGACTTATTCCTCGACCAACTGAGACTGAAATTATTGCTACCAGGAAACATAAATGGCTTACATATCAATATGTGTCTCTGTGTGTGTGCGTGTGTGTGCATATTTACCTTGAGGACCCTTCTGCACTCACTCAGGTGTATTTTATGTATATAGCTAGATGTATAGGTTTAGACCAAATGGCACTTACAGAATAGTGTTGGTGATATGATTATTTCCCCTGTGTGTGGAAACTCGTGGGGCAGCCTGGTTTTTGCTCAAGTGCCATTTAGTCAGCTGACATCTTTGACACTCTGTCACGATATATACAAATGTGTGTTTACGCGTTTGTTTGTATATTTGTAAGTATTCGTTTGTATGTGTGTATGTGTTCATACTTGTGAGCATGCGTTTATATTTGTATTTATGTGTGTGTGTGTGTGTGTGTGTGTGTATAGGGGTCGATAATCATGTTAAAATGGAGTGGAGAAAAGACTATAGCCCTATCTAACTTTAACAACATATCAGGACGATAATGATGATGGCGGCGATAATAATGATGATGATGATGATGATGGCAATGTTTATGATGATGATGATGATGATGATGATGATAATCATGATAATGATGATGGCAATGTTCATAAGAATAATGATGCTGATGATATTGGCAATGTTGTTGATGATGATGATCTCAAGGTTGATGAAGATGATGATTATGATGATGATGGCAAGTTTGAATATGATGACGACGGCAATGTTGATGATGATGATGACGATGATGGTGACCATGATGATGATGATGATAATGATTGATGATGATGATGAAAAATTATAGTGAGTTGGCTGTCTTCCAGTTGCCCAGTATATCTCACATAGACGCAATTCGCTTACTACTCGCTGTTATAGTTTGGCACTGTAACTTGAGGCAAGGCGCCAACACATTGGCATCCAATGTTGACCGTATAGGTTCTGGTTTCCATGACAGCCAGCCCATCCTGGCAACCTTTTCGTAGAAAGTAGGTCACGTCGTATGTCACCTCCATACACCTCATAGACGGAGACCCAATGCAGGACTGCGTGCACATACAAATGGCGTTGTTCACATATCTGAGAAATAGATAAGTAACAGATATAACATACGTCAACATATGTAAAGGTTCTTAATTTATAACGTACCCCAAACACGAAATCCCCGTGGGAAATCCACAGCTGACCTGACAGTCCATTATTTCAAGGGGTGCAAGTGTGCTGTTGTGTGCTGCTTTTTTTTGAGTGTTCATCTAGTGTCTTCTAATCCTAACCCTAACCCTAACCCTAAACCTAACCCTAACCCTAAACTTGGCTGTAGAGAAATCGCGAGAAACTACAACCTGAACACCCTAGAATTTATTGGGAATATCTCCCGTGACGTTGTCGTGGCGTCAGGGGTAAGTTATAAATTAAGTACCTATGTAAAGTTAAAATAAAGATTCCTCTTTTTTTTCTTTCGAACTATCTCGGGTCATCCGAGATTTCGTAGGGAAATCCATGGAATGTCCCATCGTTTAGGGATGTTAGTCAGTGTTAGTCGATATTAATTTCATACACGAACGAACTAAACTAACCCTCATCGAAAAATAATGAGGCAATTGAAAAAACGAACAACACATTTAAAGAGCAAGAAAGTTAGGACAGTCGTTTACTCAAAAGAAAGTTGCACACTTTCGTGTCAAAGACAGTTTGTCGACCGTTTGTTGACTCAATTCACACACTTTCTCGCACTAATATGAACACCGATCGAAGTATTTTTATTGGACACCTACAATATGGGACTTTCCCGTGAACTCCCTAGGAAAGCGCAGAGGCCCATAGACTGGGTGAAATAAAAGAAAAAAAGAACCCAAACAAATATTAAAGGACTTCCCCTTATTTAACACGAATGGCGCTTTAGGTATATCACGCTAGCCTCATATTTCGATAGACCAATTTGCACTTCTTCGGTGCTATGGTCCAAAACACACCGGTCACCTTTACTTCCTAGACCTTTACCTAGTACCAGTTGTATCCAACTCTTTGTGCTGCACAAACCCTTCTTCTTCTTCTTCTTCTTCTTCTTCTTCTTCTTCTTCTTCTTCTTCTTCTTCTTCTTCTTCTCCTTCTTCTTTTCTCCACTCCTAGAATGCCTCACGGTGTCAGGGCAGTAAAAGATCTCTGGAATGAGCCCTTCTGTTTCATTCGTATAAAGAACGTTTCGATGTCTCTGATATTTCCGTGGTCCACATTCTGGTCAACCTTTGGCTCTGTTACGGTTGTATTTTTATAACTTTGTTTCCTGTGGTGCCATGACGGATGTCAATCTCGTTACATGCACAAACACAGTACTTTAGAACATTAACTGTCTGGATATGTAACTGTTAAAATAACAAAGTAGATAAGTGTGGGTTAAAGTAACAAATTTAACGCTATACCAAAATTAGTACGACAAGGAGAAGTTTAACATTACAAGGAAGCAGTGGAAAGTAATGACGAAAAAGACCAAGGGGAATGCCATAAGGATAATATGATAATATCGGGATTGGTCGACGGAGCTAAAGTGTTCGTGCTTTCTGTGCGCTCTCGACAGGCATCTAGCCGGTTCTACGGACAGAGACCCTGCTATGACGTGTAAACACAGTGCAATGAAGTCAACACTATCACCTTTCACAATCAGTATCAACAAAACTCGTGATCAGACCTACCTCGGAAAAGCGTTCACTCCAAGATCAACTTGCTCAAGCTTCCATGGACATGTTGACCTCAAGTTCACTTCAGGTCGAGGCCACCAGCTACCCGTGATACTTGTGGGACATGAGTTTGGTTCATTAGCTGGCGCGGTCGGCGCTGAAGAATCACCTGGGTTTAGTCCAACTAGCTGAGAAGGAGTTAGCTGACCGTTCAAATCTTTCACCATTGCAGTCAAATTTGCTGGAGTTGTGCAGGTGCTTCGTTTTGTTCTGAAGAAAGGATGAACCTTTTCAACATCTGACAGGGAAGATGGAATGATAGTGATGCCAGATTCATGTTCTCCTTTGTGAATAAGAACAGGTAGGGAATCTTCTGCAGTCATGACTGTGTTATCTTGTTGTCTTTTGATGTAATCGATACCGGTGCCTTTTTGAATATTATCTGGAACTTGTCTTTTTACTGAATCGACGGCAAAATGTAACCACTGAGGCAAGTTTACGGAGCTTTTATCCTTTGCGGTCTTTACAGTTTTGTTCACAGTGTCAGTTCTAGGGCTGGCTCTAGAAACAGTAACAACAATCATGCAGGCCACAGCAAATCCAGTATAAAACCAGTTTACCATTGTTATGGTTTCTAACAGTGTTAAATTTATTATAATTTCAAACTTTCAACGCTTTTTTTTTAGCTAAGAAACAATTACTACAAAAAAATTTCTTCAAATATGTCAGTTTGTTTTTTCACCAAATAGAGCACTAAATAGAACTGTTTTTACTATAATTAAAATTTCTTTTGAAAATGAACACCTGATGCGATGTCAAAGCTAAAAGCTATGCCTATAAAACAGTGTATTAAGAGCAATCTAACTCTCAGTAATCTTTCTTTAAATTTATTTGTATAGTATTTTAGTAAACGATTTGTTTTCCAATTTACTTGTGTTTGTTATTGGTCCAGCTCGCTGGGGCTTAAATAATGATTTGTCCCGCCTTCCCGATCTTAAATTAGAACTGGGTTTTTATTTAGAAATCACGCTCATCGTAAAACGAGGATACTTGCTAAATTTAGAACCGTGCAGCACGTCTATTAACCTACTGACACCCGGAACAAGCTTTTGTGTGGGTCAGAAGACTTTTTCACACCGGCAAGGTTAACTAATTGGGTGGAGACATGAAAAAGATGTCTTTTAATTACAAAGGGGGAACCGCCGTGTTGGTGTGGCTAGACGCTTGCCTGCAGAGCTGAAGGTCGTGTGTTCAAATCCGAACACAGCCGGACTAGTTTCAAAAATGACCTTAGCTCCTATGTCGACCCAAACTTAAATCAGTACCAGATAAAGTGTGGGAAGTAAACGTGGCCGGAGTTATGTTGACCACATCATCCCTTGAGTATCGATTGGATTATATGTCAAATACGCCTGAATTGAGTGGAGCCCAGCACGGCCAGTGTAAACCTAAAAATGTGAATGAGTGTTTCTTGAAAACGGCATAATTATTTGAGTCTGAATTAAAACCATCTATCAGTTAACGTCGCTGAGATTTCCCTCGAAGAAAAAAAAGAGCATTCGATGTGTATTATAATTCCACCCTCCCCCCTCTCTCTCTCTGTCTCTCTGTCTCTCTGTCTCTCTCTCTCTCTCTCTCTCTCTCTCTCTCTCTCTCTCTCTCTCTCCCGCTACTCTCCTACTCTTCAAAAAAAAAAAAAGCCTGGCACGTTAAACTAGACCAGTTTACACACAGCTATCGTCTATCCTCCGAATAACAGGCACATAATATGGCAGCCAAGAACAGGGCCTTAGTCACATGTCATCTGCGAACTTCCGGCTACTTAATTCAAGGTCTTCCGGCGACTACCGCCGCCGCCGGGTATATCCCAAAAGCCGCTCACGCGGCGTACATTGGGGCTAAACTTGATGGCTGGGACTCACGAGCAAAGCTGCAGGAGATGCGGAAGCTGCTGCTCGTGAGTCCCAGTCATTTAGTTTAGTCCCAATCCATGCCTTGTGAGCGGCGTGGGGAATACTTTCGGCGGTGGCGGTAGTCGCCGAAAGTCTGCTAATTAAGTCGCCGAATGCGCAACTGACATGTGACTGAGGCCCTGTTAGGGTGTTTTTGCGGCCGCCATAATGTGTGCCCGTTATTCGGAGGATAGCCCAGCTATAAACCTCGGAGAAATAGTGAACAGGGCAAACGTGTCACTAGGTCACAGACATGTCGTCTTACAGAAGAATGCCATATATTTTTGAACAGCTAAAATAATTGATACATGTTTCGAAATAGGCTAAAACACAACCGGAAAACAGCTTATCGTAGGCGTTCCGGGGCCCCATTATGTTGAAATCGAGAACTGCCAACTGCCCCGCCAACAAGCATGTCGTAAGAGTCTACTAAATTTGGGGGGGGGGCCTACTTTGAAATCTGATTGTACTTACCTGAGAGGCAAGGAACCAACAGCCAATTAATCAATCCTCCCAAAGGTACATAAGGCAGAGACAAACTGTCGCCACTTAAACCCCACCCCTCCCCTTTATTTCTCTCTGACCAGGCGCCTAAGAGGAAAGCCATTCGCGCTGACCAAGAAGGTTTATTGGCCGATATTTATATCTATCGGGCACATTTCAATTCGACAGTTGGTGCAAAACCCTTACATTTACACAGCAAACTACCCTTTATGGTTAATACCCACAACACAGCACTGGCCGCCTTTTTTTTCCCCGTGTAATTTCTTTGTACCCATGTGAGACTGGGTCAACACTTCTCCCCTGCCTTGTTCTTCTCCAGGATGTTTTTTGAAAATGTATTCTTCTGTTAGTAGATTTACCCAGTGATGTAACTGAGTTACAAACATTTTGAGTATGGCCGCGATAACTGTACCTGTCTGTCAACATATCCGACGTTTCCAGAATTTCTTGCCCAGGTTAGCCTTCCCGGACCTGAAGGTTTAACCACCTCGATCTTTCAAAAATTTAATCTCGATGGCAAGATAACCGGGTATGTCCCAGACGCACCGTTAAAAATCCTTAGAAATTATAACTGGGCCATCCGTATCAGCTACAACTGGCCAATTAACCTAGTCTTGGGCGTGTAAGGGCCCCGTAAGAGGGTCGACCTGAAAGCGACATAGCCAGCCAAGTCGATTTTTTAACACAAAAAAAAACCACTTCGACGATCCGGGAGAGACTCGGTGAAATTTGAAGTCTGAAGTTTGTACAACGGTTTAACATCATAGCACACGGATAGTAACCCACAAGTGCTCCGTTCTTCTTATAACTCAAGTCTGAGTCCGAAGAAGCCTAGTACAGCCTCTGTAGCACCGGTGAGGATCCTGAAATACTTTAGGTAGATTGTTAACTCTAAATTTTGCCCGTGGTGCGCCAATAATCCTTCTGTCACTAAACTTCTATCAGGAGG